ATGTTACTTTCAACTGAAAATACATGTTATAGAATATGTGAGTTTTGCTTCTTTCTTTGTATAAAAGTCATGGAGAATAAGATCTTTGAGTACGTAAAAATCACAGACATATATTGGATCGATGTTTGTCAATTCTCTCTCTGTGCGTCGCAACTGAAGCCATGATTACCAGCTTCATGTTTGTCAGTGCATCAATGTCGTTTGTTGTTGCTGTCGTTTTCTGATTTGTTTTGTTACTTTGTTATTTTTTCCGTTGTCTACAAGGTTTCAGTCTTTCTTTCTTGTTTTCTTCCAGGGACCAGTCCATGTCATTACCTTTCCTGGATGCTTGTCTAATTGTTTTGTTTTTTAGTGAGGACGTTCTGCGGATTCTATTGTTGTTGATTTATTTTGTTGTCGTTTTGCTGATATATTGCTAAGATATAGTGTTGATATATTGCTGTGACCCTTTTTTTTTTTTTGCCTAATCAAAGCGATATACTGCTGTGATTTATTCCACTGAACTCTGCGTGGTTTCCAATTTTCCACTTAATAGCGTCTCTATTTTCATGCTCTGTGTGTTGTTATGTTTGCTTATTTTTTTCTAGTTTCTTTTTTCTTTCTGTGATGTTTCTACTATTTGTCGTCGTCTATTTAGGTTGATGTAGTGCTTCAAAATGATGCCCCCTTTTTTTTTTTTAATAATCAATGTCACTTTTCTATACCAATTTATTGCTTTTTTTATTGTCACTTTTTTTTTTTAATAAACATGTTGGGTTTTGTAGGAGTCCTCGGTAATGTTTTCTTTAATGGCTGTTTAATTTGTTAGTTGGAATTGTGTTAATTTAAATTAAAAAGTTTAAACCACACAGTTTAAATTGCTATTTAAATTCACGTTTGAATATGTAGTTTATAATGTAAATTTTGAAAAGAAAAGAAAAGAAAATCCCAATTTATGTTTGTATAGGTGTGGAGAGCATAGTGAATGGACTGGCTTTACCATTTAAAACAGAAAAAAAAAAATACACAACTCAAGATGGTAAAAATATTATTTGTACCACTCACTTAGAAATAAATAATTATTATTCAATTAATAAAAAGAAAAAAATCATAATGACACTCAATTATTTAGAATAACATAAATAATAGGCATGCACAAAAACGTAACAAATTATGTACTTTTCTCTTTAAAAAATGGTTTCAAATGTCCAAAAAGAGAGGGCATAAACTCTAAGACATGTTCTTTTTATAGGTTTGAACCATAATGTCAATTCTTTTTGCTAATTTTGTTCCAATTTTCTATTCAAAACAACTAAACGAGCAGTTCTACTCAATTCAATTCAGTTTGAATTGTCCAAACAATTTGAATTATTGATTGGCCAAAGACCACTTTGAGCTGTGCTTACCATCCGAACTTAGTTGAAATGGTGAATCAAACGGGCTATATGTAAAAGTGATGCTAGTTTATAGTAGACCATCTCCAATGTAAATGTTAATGTCAATTGTATATTCAGCATAAAAAACTATGATATGGTATGTTATTTTCATTTTTGTTTCAATGCATAATGTTATTTGAAATGCTAAATCTACTTTTTCTGATAATTATTAAGTTTTGAAAGTTGTAAAAGTAAACTTTTATTTTTAAAATAATTAAAAAAATACAAAAATTGCATTGATTACATAGAAAATGTAAACATTTTAACCAATAATAATTAAATGTCAAATTTTCTATATGCTATATTTGATGAGAAATTTACCACAAAGTATAATATATGAGAAATTTGATACAATATATAGCATTGCTTTAGAAAATATTTTTTACACTTAAATGTTAAATTTACAATTGGTACATTAATTATAGCATTGCATTAGAGATATTCTTAGTTACTTGATATCTATTTTGCTGCACAATAATAGTTTCTTTTAACTTTTTTTTTTCTTCAGAAACAGACCATTAACTTCTCATTAAATGTGATCTTGCATGCCATCTATAAAAAACATAGTACATGGTAAAAAAAATGGTTGATTCTACCTCATCACGATGGGCATGATCTTCATGACAAGTAGATGGCCTACTTTTAAGTATGTGCAAGTTGGACTCATCTGAGCAACCTAACATTTCAAAAAGAAAAGAAAATTTTTGTGGCATAGTATGACTTGCAAAACCCAGTTTCGAATCGTGCTCAATAGGGTATTGAAATTTAAAAAAAAAATTATTTATAAGTGACTTTTTTAGATTGAATAGCATATGCTTGCTATTAATTGGAATACATTTAAAAATTACTTACGTTTAAATACATATAAGACATGACATTTATACAAATATATACGTTTTTATATTTAAGCACTAAGAGCAAGCATATCATTAATATTGATATTAATAATATCAGTATTTAGCTCTCCAATTTTCCTCTACTTATAGATGATATTTGTGTTATTTGTTTGGTCATAAAACATCAAGATATTGCTATACCGTTAACATGAAAAAGTCTTTTTGATTCTCATAAAACACAAAAAACAAATAACTGAGGAAAGCGTTTTTTGTAGTCTTATTATTAAGTGTTCTTTTGTAGTCTCATTCTTAAGCGTTCTTTGTAGTCTCATTCTTAAGATGACCAATCAAGTTATAGATGACCAATCAAATTCCTATAACGTATATGATTGTATTATCATGCCTTCATGCTAGATCACCCTTTGATGGCCAACTACCTTTAGACATGACAATCCTTATGTCACGTGGAATACTAAAAGGAATAATGAAAAATACGGTTCTAAAATTACCTAAACTATCTAAAGAGATAATATTAATTGGGAAACAAATATTTCTAATTCTTAGCATGATTATAATAATAAATAAAGCTCTCATTTATAAGCCCACATATGACTAAAGACTTAGTGCACAACCAGTGTGGGACTCAACCCAATATACCTAGAGTTTGGTGGGTAAGAATTGCTCAATAAATTAGTGTTTATGGCTGTTGAACTTGAGACCATGATCTTGCCTTGATTACCAACTTCTTGTCTGAAACGGCATTGTCGTTTGTTTGCTGTTGTCGTTTTTATACTGTGTAGTTTTCTAATTTGTTTTTTTAATTTTTTTTATCGCCATTTATTTTCTTCTGTTTTCTAAGGTTTCAAACGTCTAATATTGCTGTCGATTTATTTTATTGTCGTTTATATGGTATTTTATATCTTATTTATTCCATTGAACAAATTGTGGTTTCCAAATTTCCCCTTAATAGCGTTTTTATTTCCATTTTGTTCTTCCTACGGTTCCTCCGGGATTTTTTTTGCGTTCATTTCTTCTATTTGTCGTCGTTTATTCAGAATCATGTACGTAGTGCTTTAAAATGATCAAATGATGTTATTTTAGGTGAATGCACTATTCTAAAACAATTTATTGTTTTTGGTTTTCATATAAGGCTTCTACGTTTTTTTCAGCCTACGTTGCGTTTCTTCGGTCATTTTTTAAAGATTTTGTTGCTTTTCCGGTTAGTGTCGTTTTTGTTGAGGTTTTGTGCTTTTCCCAGAATCCTTAGGACCTATCCTAGTCATATGGTCAGGTTTTTGTCGTATTAATAATTGTTGTCGTTTCATGTACTGTTGTTTTCAGTTTATGTCGTTTTTCATAAATTATTACCAATTTGTGTGTTGGTGGTACGTATCGATTTTCCTGTACGTCCTCTTCGCAACTTGAAATTTTTTTCGGGGGCTTCAATAGTGTACAAAATTTGTGTCCCTTTTCCAATGTCGTTTTCAATGCTAATGTATATTTTTTGTGGTTTTTTCTTTTGTTTTTTTAAGTTATTATCGTTTTTGATTAATGTCGTCTCGTCTGTTCATGTCATTTATTCGTTAATGCTGTTTACAGACTTACACATTACCGTTTACTTCTTTTGTTGACATTATAGGTCGTTTTGTGGCTTTTGTCATTTTTTAGCTCACGTCGTTTTGTATTGTATGATAACTAAGTCACAAAAGTCAGTGATCCGTTTTATTTGTATTTTTCTTTTCTGTATTGAGGTGGTCTTGCATGCTGTCGTTTTACCAAATTATTGTCGTTTATCCATTAATGTCCTTTAACTTACTTTACTTATTGCGGTTCATATATTGAATTTAAGAAACTTATAGAACTAACTATTAAAATTTAATGTGAAAATAATATTGTCTTATTCAGTATTGTTTCTTTGGTTTAAGTTGTTTAAATTGATTTATTTTTATAAAAGAAAGTTATTAGTAAGGAGGTGAATAATAAAAATGTGACTTACAAAAAGGATAATGTTAGGGCCGTTTAGTTCGCTGATTCGAGTTTTTAATTCGAGTTGAGATGTGACTTTATGTGAGAACTTTTTACTGTAGTAAAAAAGTTAGATGTAATTGTTTGTGAGAGCTTTTTACTGTAGAAAAACTCAAATTCTAAACTCGAATCAGCGAAATGAACGGGGCTACGCTTTTCCTATTATTCAATTGTAGTTATATCTCCCAAATGCCGGTGATGTCGTTCCTTCTATAGTCATTTTTATGTTGATGTCTTTTATTGGTTCTGTTGTCGGTCCGTCGTTTCTGCTTCGTGTCACTAAGCTGATTCCTTTCATTTTATAATCAATCAATTTCTCTGTTGATAGTTTGGTTTCCTAATATTGTCGTTTACTTATTTTGACGCCGTTGTTGAGTTTTCAGTCGTTTATTTTCATTATTTTTTATTTCTTTCCGGTGATGTCATTTGATTGGTTGTATTGTACCCGAACTAATGCCAAGGGTCACTTGATGAGCAATCAGCCAATTATTTAAAATCTCCACAGGGTCAAAACTAACACCAAAAAGAGAGAGGAAAAAAAAAAAAGAAAATACACTAGATTAAGATTAAGGCAATAAAAAGGAAAATAAAATAAAAGCAGCAAATTATTTTTTTTTAAAAAAATAAAAACAAAAACAAAAGTGCACTTTTATGAAAAATGCTTTTTCTGAGGATAAAAAAAGGGATCAATATGACACACATGAAGAACTCTCTTGCACCCGTGAATCTCTGAAACAATCTCCTCTCTTCTTACTTCTAATTCCTTTGAATCAAAGGAACACGCAACTATATATCACGCTTGTATATTTTCTTTTCTTATTAATATATATATATATGTGTGTGTGTGTATATATTATATTTCTCTATATATCTTAATCATAATTTCTAACGAACTCTTTCATCAGAGTTTGATGAGCAGCATCACCATTTTCAACCATCCGATTTTCATGTCTACCACTTTGACATGTCGCCGGCTTTGATCACCCAACAACACTCCAACGGTCAGATTTCTCATCCTTTTTTCTTCAATTTCTCTGGATTTTCTCGGGAAAATCAATCGGACCAGCATCCGGCCTCGTCGCACGCAATGAACCCGTCGAATGCCGGCGATATGGCTTCTGGGTTTTCGAGCTCTAACGACAACAAATCAGATTTCAGGTTCGAGACTCCGCCGGTTCCTCGATCTGGGTCCGGTCTCACGAGGCCGAGGTTTGTGAAGGTGAGGAAAGGGCCGAGTTCGCAGAATTCGAGATCTTCGGAGATTCCCAAATTCCAGGTTGATCTTGGATACAATCCCTTTCGGCCCGTTTCGGAGAATTCGTTCGGGTCCGAAACGGGGAGACCGGTTTCTGGTGATTTTGGGTTTGGGAAGAGTACTGGCAGTGAGGGATTTTTCTTTGGAGCGAGTAGAAATGATTCAAGTGAAAGTGTTGCAAAAGGGGTTGTTGAGGAATTGAAGAACTTGAAAATTGGGAGTAATACGAGTGAGTTTGCGACTGCAAAAGACGACATTTTTAGTCCAAATTCAAGTGCTATGGCGAGTTCAGCTCAAGCTAAAGGTCGGTTTTTTGCATTTGGAAGTGAAAGCATTATGTCTAAGCTTCCGGAAGATATGAAAAAGTTGAATATTGAAGGTGGTATTGGGAGTAGGGAAAACTTGAGCAAAAAGGACATGGATGAAATCTCCAAGCTTCCTGAAGATTTAAGGAAGTTGAATATTGAAGATCCCGGGAATGAGAAAGAGACTGAGAGGTTTAAGAGTGGAGGGATTAATTTAAGTGCAAATGCGAATGTTGAGTTTGGATTTGGGAGTTCTGACAATGTGGGTGGTTCTGTCTGCGAAAACATGGAGTCAGAACTGCCAAGTGAGCTGAGTAAGAAGTTGAATATTAAAGAAACTAAGCAGGTTCATGGAAGTAGTGGTGTCAACTTTAACGCTGATGATGTGAACAAGTTTGAATTTGGAAGAAGCTTTGCAACTACACTTCCTGATCAGATCAAGAATCTAAACATAAAGGATGACAGAGAGAAACCCGCCTCAAACATGGAGGAGAATAGAGGAAGCAGGAAAGGGGACACTTTTCTTCAATCAGATGTGGGAACAGCTTCTTCCAATGCATTTGCAAAGGAAATGCCAACTGGGTATTTCGGTAACAATGTGTTTGACAATCCGGATAAAGTTACTTCAGACGAAAAGAAAGATGATGCCAAAATCAGTGGAGTAGATGAGAATGATGAAAAGAGGTGTGATGAATTTATCTTTACGAGCAAACAGGATTCTTTTGCGACACCCTCTTTCGGGTTCAAGACAACAACAAAAACAAGTCTATTTTCTGGTTTAAATGAGAAGGTGGAATTTCATGCAACGAGGGAATCATTTAGGGATGGAGGAATGAAGAAAAAGAGCGGCACTGGGAAATCAAGACGTCCTACCACAGTCCAGCTGTGGCTTGGCCAAGATTTTGTTTCTACAGAAAGCAGTTTCCAGGAAAGCCCCGAAGCATCCGACTCCTATTCACCTATGGATGTTTCTCCTTATCAGGAGACATTGGCTGACAATCGATATTCTAGAGAAAACTCTGTGACATCTGATGGCTCTTTCAGTCTTGACAACTATCCGAGAACTGATTCACCACCAAAACCAGAAACCAATGCAATCGATGAAGATTTGGCCGCGGCAACCGTACGAATGGATATAAACAATGTCATTAATGTAATAAAAGAGGAAGACATTGACAATAATATTAGTGCTGAAGGTGGTCTTGAAGAATCTGTTTCTGGGGCTGAAACTGAAAGCTTTAAATCTGCAACTGAGGAGGTGGACTTTATTAGTGATAACACTGTTATAGAGACTGAAGCTAGTTCAAGCTCAAATGTTGATGGGCATGACACTGATGGCAGAGCAAAATTTGGATTTGCTTCAAGTGCAGAAGATTTAGGTGGGTCTAACTTCACCTTTTCTGCCTCTTCTGCCGCTCAAGGCCAATTACCTGTGTCAAAACGCCTCCTGAAAAAGAAGAACTGGCTCAAAGTTGGCCATGATACAAACAATGTAATTCCGAATTCTAAAATATCTTATGCATCATCCTCTTCACAGTTTATTCCATTTTCTGGAGCTTCACTGCTTTCGTCTCCGGGACGGGGCCAGAAAGGAGATCCATCTAGTCTGCAAAGCAGAATTAGAGATAGTTCTGAGGTGGGTAAAACTCAGGTTGTTAATCAAGGGTCTGATTCTACTTCTGCAGCAACTGTTGCAGCTCAGGAAGCTTGTGAGAAGTGGCGGCTAAGGTTCGAATTTTTAATCTCCTTTTCTCTTTTATGGCAGCTCAGGAAGTTTGCATATTTGGTGTTCTTTGGTGCGATTTATGTTGTCTCTAACTTAAAGATGATCTTCTGTTTTGTCATGTATCAGAGGAAACCAAGCATATGCAACTGGAGATCTGTCTAAAGCTGAGGATTGTTACACACAAGGGATAAGTTGTGTTTCTAGGAGCGAGACATCTAGGAGCTGTCTTAGGGCATTGATGCTCTGCTATAGCAACCGCGCAGCGACTCGTATATCTCTTGGACAGATGAGAGATGCACTTGGAGATTGTATGATGGCTGCTGAAATAGATCCCAACTTTCTCAGGGTGCAAGTCAGAGCTGCCAAGTAAGTTCTTAAAATTTGCTTTCTTGTACAATATTTCTGCTGTTCAATTTTTACACTCACATAGTATTGTTTTGTAATTAATTCCATTACTTACATTTGCCGTTTTATTTATTTGATGCTGCATTCTCGAGTTGTATATGAAATATCTCATTGGCATCGTTTTCTCACTGGGTTGTCATCACTTTGGTCTGCTATTTCCCTTGTTGGCCTCTTAAATGTCTTGTCATGGGTTACGTAGTGCTCCTTTTTATTTTAACTACTGATAGATATGTTCCCTAATCCATGATTTTTTTTATTAATAAATTTGTGAAGTTGTTATCTTGCCATTGGGGAAGTTGAAGATGCATCACGGCATTTCAGGAGGTGCTTACAGGCGGAAAGTGATGTATGTGTAGACCGAAAAATTGCAGTAGAGGCTTCTGATGGCTTACAGAAGGCGCAGGTACCGTAGTTTGTTTATTCTTTTATTATCATTCAATCATACTCATGGTGACTATCAAGTTTAAGTTGTAACATTATTTGATATTTGCGCTTCTGCATGCCATGTGGCTGGTACTTCTGAGAGGCCTGATGTTATGTCTGTAATTGATGCTCCTTTCTTGTTATAGATTTTGCATTATTTCTCTTTTGTATCGCTGAATATCTTAAACTAAACAGTGTTTTTATGGCTGACAGATAGTGTCTGAATGCATGAATCGTTCTGCTGAAATTTTGCAAAAGAAAACATCTAGTGATGTGGAGAGTGCTTTGGAATTTATTGCTGAGGCCCTGACAATAAGCCCATGCTCTGAACAATTACTTGAAATGAAAGCTGAGGCTCTTTTCTTGGTTTGTGCTTCTTTCTTGTGATAGTGACTCTTGGTCTTTTAGAGCCCTTGCTTTGACTTTGAATGATCTTTGGCTAGTCGTGGGGTTTAACTTCTGTGGCATAACGCAGATGCGAAGGTATGAAGAGGTGATTGAATTGTGCGAGCAGACCCTTGGTTCTGCTGAAAGAAACTCTTATCCGATTGATGCTTCTGACCAGTCGTCTAATCTGGATGGTTCCAAGCATTCTAAGTACTGTTATTTCCGGATGTGGCGTTGCCGTATTACTTTGAAATCACATTTCCATCTAGGAAGGCTTGAGGATGGTTTGTCTTTATTAGAGAAACAAGAGGAAAAGCTTTCTGCCACATATAGGTAATTCATAACCCTTTCGTCTTAGAACCATAGTTGGATAATTTTCTCTGTCTAGTAGTTCAACGGAAATATTGTTTTGTTTGTGGAAGTTTCTAATTCTAATGATTGTCCAGGAATGAGAGCAAAATACTTGAATCATCACTGCCCCTAGCCATCACTGTACGTGAGCTCTTACGTCATAAGGTAACATCTACGGCTGTGATATATCTCTTTTATGCAATAAACAATGAAGATTTTATCAGATGTTTATGGAAGCCGAGGAAAGAAGAACATTTTTGGAGATGTCAAATTAGTTGACTATTCATTTGCAGTCAATAACAATAGGTTTGTTTTATTTTGACCGGTCCAGGCTGCAGGGAATGAAGCATTTCAGGCTGGAAGGCATACTGAAGCCGTTGAATGTTATACTGCTGCTCTGTCATGCAATGTTGAGTCGCGTCCTTTTGCGGCTGTTTGTTTTTGCAATCGCGCTGCCGCATATAAAGCATTGGGTCAGATCAGTGATGCTATTGCGGATTGCAGCTTAGCTATAGCTCTTGACAGAAATTACTTGAAGGTATATCTCTAAGCTGATGTGATAAAATAATCTAGAGATGTCCCAAAGAGAAAAAGCTCATCTGCCATATGTTGCTTGGTGAGCCCTTTTTTGTATGCGTCCTTGATCCTTCATTTGTTTTACTTTTATAGGCTATTTCTAGAAGAGCCACTTTATATGAGATGATCAGAGATTACGGACAAGCAGCTCGAGATATTGAGAGACTTGTGTCTCTTATCACTAAACAAGTAGAGGACAAAACCCATCACGTAGGAGCATCTGATAGATCCACTAGCAGCACAAATGATTTGAGACAGGCTCGTTTGCGGCTTTCTGAAATAGAGGAAGAAGCCAGAAAAGATATTCCCTTGGACATGTACCTCATCTTGTAAGTTTCTCTTTCCATACATTGTGAGCACTTTTTTACTTGTGTTCATTCTTGTGGATAATATAATGAAGCTGGTAAAAATTAGGAGGAATTATTACAATACACAGAAACGTGTCAAGGACTGAGAAAATATATTTTTATGAATTTGTTTATTTTGCATTATTTGTTGTTCCATGAAGAGGCTTTCCCTGAGGACGCACTCAGTTTACTCAAATTGATTTTTTGAATACTTGAATGGCATCATATATGGATAACTATTATCAACTATTTTATGAGATACTGAAGAATTTTAATTGATATCGCTCTTTAAGTAAGTGAATTGATGCAGTGTAAGTTGAAATGATGGCAGGGGAGTTGATCCATCTGTTTCGACATCAGAAATTAAGAAGGCCTATCGGAAAGCTGCACTTAAGCATCATCCTGACAAGGTTTATAGTATTTTATGCTTTAGTGTTTTGCCTATTTTTGTTTGTTATGACTTAGGAATACTGCCAAATTAGGTTATATTTCAGGATATAACATGAAATTAAATAAGTAAAAAAGACACAAGAAATTTACATGGTATGGTTTTGGCCTATGTCCACAACAAGGATGCTGAGATATTCTTGCTGTCAAAACAGAGAGATTACGAAGAGGCAAGAGCCTATAGATCTCTCATGATACCCAAAACCCACCTAACCGAAGAGATTAGTCTCACAACATGGAGCAAGAGAGAATAACAAATTCTCACACAGCTCACATACTAATTTATCTCTATATTTGGATGCCCAAGATGAGTTGCATTGCAGCCTATATATATAGAAAGGGGAAACAGTGGAAACAGGGGCAACATGGACTTCAGGCAACAATTTGGGCAGCTTTCTAATGCGCTTGGGCCTTGGGGAACAAACTTGCTACAGTTTCAAGCTTGCTATGGTTCGAGTAATGTGGCTTAATACTAGCCACGACCTAACAAATCTCCACCTTGGCTAATACAATAGTACCACAAATATTGCCAAATCTGTTTCAGTCATCCAATGAGCCTTGTTTGCACAACTCATATATCTAATGAAGACCTTGGGTTAATATTAGCCAAGGTGGAGTTTTGCTGGGTTGTGGCCAATACCGAGCCACATTACTTGTCCTGTGGGTCACTAAGCATGTTATTGTGCAAGCTTGGTGCCCAAGCTCGTCAAATTCCTGCCCAATAGGCAGAAGCTGCCCAAGGTCACTAACATGGGCGGGCAAGCTTGCAGACCGAAGCTTTATATGCTTGCAGCTCACACCCACTCATTGTATGGATATACATATTAGTGGTTAGCAGCTCAGTTTGCCCATTTGAAAATTGAGAGAAATCTTGAGATTTTCTGAGCGTGTGCGAGTGTAATGAGCATCTGAGAGCATTATTTTGTCTGTTTGTTTTGTGAGAGCTCGTTGGGTGTAGCAGTTTTGGATTTTATGAGAGCTACACTCTTTTGTTATCTCCTTTGTTTTATTACTAGACATTCTTTATCGTCTTTGTCTGTGGATGTGATCCAAAGTTTGAACCGCACCAATTTCTTATGTTCTTTCCACTTGCTTTATTTTTATTTATTCTGAAATGCAATCTAATTTGCAGAGTTCTTTCATTACGTAATTGTTAAACGTGTTCCGTGTCATTTTAGGCTGGTCAATTCTTGGCAAGAAGTGAGAATGGTGATGATGGGCTTTGGAAGGAGATAGCAGAAGAAGTCTACAAAGATGCCGACAGACTATTTAAAATGATTGGAGAGGCATATGCAGTTCTTTCAGATCCTACCAAGGTCTGTTGTTATTTACCGAGCTCCGGAACTGTTTGTCACTAAATATCTTGCAGTACGATTCTGATGATTATTTGATCAACCACTACATTTTTTGCAGCGTGCTCGGTATGACGCTGAAGAGGAGATGAGGAATGCGCAAAAGAAACGAAATGGAAGCAGCACATCTAGAGCACAAACAGATGTCCAAAATTACCCGTTTGAAAGAAGTGGAAGTAGGCGACAATGGAGAGATGTTTGGAGATCGTATGGTACCTCGACATCGGCATGGCCGGAATCCACTCGATCAACTAGGTACTCATGACAACCTTGTTCGGACATGTCTTGGTTTTTCGAACGTTAGAAAAAAGTTTTAGAAGGGGTCTAGCCACAAGATGGATCATTTTACATTGCCGCGTAGACAATGTTCAGTTTAAAGGTCGAACAGATGCAGAAACTTCCAGCATATGAAAAGTGATTACCCCCACAAAAGAGAATTACATTAAGAAGGGAAAGGAAAAACGAAGAGATTTTTCCTCAAAAGTTAAAGGTGGTTAGAAGCTTGGATGATATCATGATTTGAGTGATTGAATAAGCTTGGTTTGTGGAAAGAGAAGGTGTTCTCTGTAGCAAAAGATGCCTTGTAAATCATCCAGTATTGTGTACAGAAGAGATGAAATATAACCATAACAGGCAGATGAGTAACCTTAGAATGAGAAATTAACTGGCTTGGGCAGTCTGCTAATCTGGTTAGAAGAAGAAAGCAATGAAATTGGAGAAGGGATTTTGTGTGTTTCTTTTTTTTCTCTTTTTCTTCTTTTTTGATATTTTCCTTATTGAATTTTTTATGGAAAGAATGTAGATAAATTATGAGGTGAGAGCTTTTTTATTGTATAGGTTATAGTTGTGTGTTTTCTTTCTAATTATATGTCCACAAAAACAAGAAAAAAAAAAAAAAAAAAAAAAAAAAAAAAAAAAAAAAAAAAAAGTAAGTTTGAAATTTGAATGAAGATTTTTTTTTCCATAATTTTTTTGCGAAGTTTTAGAAGACTTTTAGTTTATGGATTAGAATCATGTGATTAGAACTATTTTTAATTTACGTGTATTTTTTATGAGAAAAAACACTGTAACGAATCATGAACTATGATTCAAATCATTATTTGAATCCTCCAACTAAACATTCCCTTATTCTCCTTTAAGGGGACATTTTTTCAAACTCTTTGATTTATAATATAGCAAGATGGTAAACAAGGAAGTATATTATTGTAAATTTTTTACCATCTGCCAAGTCATGTTAATACTTCCACGTACAACAAGATGGCTATCAATCGAGCAACAGATCGCCAATAACCTATTTTCTCACGTGAAGATAATTTTTAATTGGTTGTCGTTTTCTTGAAATTGGGCACAGCCTCTCAACAAAGTTCTTATCTTCCACCACCTGTAACACACAAGAATGAGCACAAGCATTTTAGCTAAGACCAAGTATACCACCTGTGATAGAATCATCACTTATGTCGCAATATCACAATGTAAGATTCATCACATAAGCATTTCAACATTAAAGAGAATGAGACTGAAATATGTGCCGTGTTTGGAATTGATCCCGTTTTTTTTTTACATTTTTCGAGAAAGAAAAAATAAAAACATTTTTAAAACGGCGTTTGGCGCAATAAAAATAAAAAACGGAAATAAAAACGATTTTTTAGTTTAGTGTAAAATGAGAGAGAAATAAAAAAACGATTTTTAGTTATTTTTTATGTTTTGTTTTCATTTTCTCATCTCTTGAACACAGAGATATATATATATATATATATATTAATGAGTTTTTTTATACTGAAAACAATATCTAGATAAAACTACTAAACGCATTTTCAAAAACGATTTCTGTCTGAGATTGAAAACGTTTTCATTTTCATTTTCATACAAAAAATAAAATCATTTTAAAACGAGTTCTAAACACGCCCATAAGATCTAAAAGTGGGTCCACTTTTTATTAGTTATGATGCTCAACCCTATTGGTCTAATGCATAATACTACTTGAATGACGACTCTACCTTTGAAGAGTGGAGGAGCTGAGCTGAATAAGGAATTTGAAGTCTGACTTGTGTGTTTTGAGAATTTTATACGTATATTCCTAATCCAAGCTCCTTTGGATCCGTTTCAACCATCCATGCAGGTCTATTAAACCCGGGGGGGGAAAAAACAAAACAAAAATATCAGTAGTCAATAACTTAAAGAAGGAACAAAGAAACAACTAAAAGAAAGTTCTTCTGGATCAGAAATTCATACTTGTTCATTACAAAATTGAATGCTCCTTGTGCAGCACGTTTGAGAAGAACTTCCCTAGCCTCCGTAGCAATTCCTTCAGGCTGTATATGGAGAGGATTCAACAAAATGTTTTTGTAAATAATTGAGTGCTTAGCTTTCGAATCTCGATAATTTTCTTTTTCAACTCTTGAACATACCTCCTCTGGGAACCAAACCCCAGGCTGCGTGCTTCCCTCGAGAACCGCAAGAGCAAATGCAGCTGTTGCAGTTCCTACTGATCTGGAAGACATAAATCACGTTCATATCATATTTTATTCAGAGCCTTCTGCTGGTAATTTTTCAAGCTTATCATCTAGCAAAAAGCGTTGATGTTCAGAGACGTTTGAGAAGCAAGAAAAGCTTACACAGAAAGTCTTTTGTGACTGAATATCCCGACTATATTGCGCCCATTAGAACATTCCAAATCAACCTGCCCGGAATGTGACGATCAAATAGAGTGAAACAACAATGTTGAGAGATTTACTCACATTTCTACATTTGCTCACCCTCATTGACACGCGTTCTCCAGCAATCCCATCAACTGCTCGGACTACAGGATCGAACAGCTGAACCAACTGCTGGACTTTGCTTCTGTCCCTCAACGACTCCTGAAAAGTGGTGTTTGGTCAACTTGGTAAGCCTGTTTAAAAATATCTCATTTGAAATGAAAGTATTTCAGCTATTTTATCCTATTTTATTGAGATATGACAGATGCATATTGTTTGGAAAGAATCATATACTATGAATTCCTACACTAGAAAATCACAACACAGGTCTAGACCTAGTTTAGAAAAAGTTCAAGTCATGTGGGAAGATATATGCAGGGTACCGGAGGAAGAAGACTCGTCATGGCTATCATTCCCCAATTCCAAAAGAATGGTGCAGTTCCAAATCGAGCGCTTACAGTTGGTATTCCAAGGACCTCATGAGCACTTCTAACCTCAGGCAGATTCCTGAAAATAAGATCTTTCAGACATCTATCTCTAGGTGACATATTTACAACATGTGCATAAGTAAGAACAATCATTTGTGTGTATCATGATTGGATTTCAATAGATCTTCACAGAACAACCATTTGCACTTACAACAGATAAACATCTCTCTTTCCGATGCCTCTACCAAAGTCAATGTTGAGCATTCCGCTGTATGGCTTTAGTTTGATCTTTTCTCCTGATTGCATAGACCATATCATGTGTCTCATGTAGAAGTTGAGATGAAGCGTGAAATAAGATATAGAAAGCAGAAACTGACCTTTATTATAGGCAACAACCTCCTCTCCAAGTAGCAAAAAGCTAGTGGCTAATATTGTTGGACCCGCCCCACCAGTACCGGCAGTGTAGTAGTAGAATCTGAAAGAGTAGAGTTACACATGAGTGTTCAGGTCAAGAATCCGCAAAACAATTGTCAGTTACAAAAAGATTTTTTCCCCTGCCGATTTTGCCAAGGCATTTAATAAAGGAAATTGGAGCTCCTGTTGACTGCAGCAAATAAACCAGGAAGAAAAAGAAAGGGCAGTTTAGATGCCAAGAGTTAAGAATGGTAGTAGAATTTGTTAACCTTAGCCTTTCTGGCTCCCCTTTGCTTTCACTTCTCACCGCACGAACCAACTCCGCTGCCATTACTGTGATCATAGCTATGAAAATTAGGCACAAGGTGATCAGGTTATAACATTATTGTCTTACAGAATAAGAATGCTTATGAGAGACCATTGCTCACTCCAGGATAAATTCCACCAGTTGTAATGGCTGGAATATTTGCATCAACAGCTCTATCGCTCAAGGACTTAGCACGCGACGCGTAGTTTGTATCATCACAAACATCAAGATACGCCGTCTGTGGAGAGAAAAATAAATAAATAAATAAAATAAGAACACTTTTTTATGGTTATTTATTATCTGCTAAACACAAAAACATAGGTCATAGCGTGGATAACTTTGGGCAGCTAGAGTCTAATACCCACTTGTTGTGTTCTTCGCAAGGTCAGATTTTTATCAGATTCCATCATTGTTACATGTTGATGTTGTTTGATTTTTACCTTTGCTCACCTTGGTGTTAATGGCAGCTTCTAGTACAGAGCACTTCTCTGCCTGCTGGAATGGCCCTGCCGCGTGTACTACAAGATCCACATCTGCCGAATTTTCGAGTCTCGCAATTAAATTTAGTTAACACAAATTATTAAAAAATAGTATTAACTAACAAGTATCAGTTAAACAAATGTGGAAAAGTAATTATATAAGAACTTGAGAAGAATCCACGAACCACTAAGGACCGCTTCCAATGAATTGACATTGTTAATATCAACTTCAGAAAACTCCGAGTTTCCACCAAGAGTCGCCACCATTGCAGCTCCTTTTTCCCTGCCAGCCATGTCCCACATTAAAATTTCAAATTTTCATTATCATCACAGCATTAATTTGTTACTTCTTGGCAAAAGTTATGTGTAAGTTTTTTAACCTGTTGCGACCAGCGACAACGAGGCGGAGGTCGGGGCAGAGCTTGGAGAGAGCAATGGCGGTGGATCCTCCGACCCGACCCGTTCCGCCGAGGACCAAAACCCTCGAATTGCGGGCCTTGTCTGGGAGATTGACTGTGAGGTGCTCGCCTTCTCTTGCGCACGCCATTGGAATTGGAATTGCGCTCTTCAAACGCACACAACCTCCCGCCATATCCTTTTTCTCTTTCTTTCTCTGTGGGAATGTGTTCGGCTTCAGCCTTAGCCTTAGCCTTAACCTATCAGTTTTTATCGTTGGTTTCTGACGCAATGATTGATGACGTGGCATAATTTGTACCGTCAAAGTAGTTCTTACTCTTGCATTGCCTTAAACTGAACAATTAAGGTCTTGTTTATTTCACCGATTTGAGTTTTCAATTCTAAATTTTTACAGTAAAAAACTCTCAGAAAATATCACATCTAACTTTTTCTGCTACAGTAAAAAGCTCTTAAAAAATGTCACATCTCAGCTCGAATTAAAAACTCAAATCTGCAAAGTGAACGAGCTATTAAGGTTGTAACATACATTTGTACCGTTTAAACCGTCCTTTTTTTAAAAAATATTATTATCATTTTTTTTCAAAAAAAAATTAATTATTTTTTCTTTAGTGAAGAGAGATTTGACTTCTAGACCGAAAATTCAAGGTGACTACAAATTTACAAGTAGATTCGTTGCATATTTAGAAGACAAGTTGTCTTCTTCTTCCCCTTTTTTCTTCTTGAAATTTATAGGATAGTACCTGTTCTTTTTAACTATTGATAGATTGTTTTAATTGTTGTAACAGCGTGATCTATAATTATAGTAATTTTATATCACGTATTATAAATTTTTAATGTAAACACTCACCTATTAAGCCATTAAAATCATAATTCAATGATTAAAACAACAATTCGTACCGATAGTTAAAAAGTGCAGTCCCTAATCCCTAATATCTACCATAGAAGTTCCTTTTTTCTTTCCTTTATCTAAAGGGCGCGAGCAGGTCTTTTCATTGAAACGCCTATAGTTATCCCCAACATGCATAATCCGTCTCCAAGAAATATATAATTATAAAAGGTTAATAAATAAAAGCATAGGCAGAGTCATATTGCACCCAACTCAAAACTTGGCTAGTTAGATGTCCTAGTTGTCACTGTAGCAACATATAAAACCAAAAAAGAAGAGCCTAGTTTTCAGGTGCTTTCAAGCAATGCCCTGCTATCCGCACTGAAGCGCTTGAGTACATTGGTTGGGCATGTAAAAGCCAAAATGGAAGAACAATATAGACAATATAATCTAAGTGTCATATTGCACCCAACTCAAAACTTGGCTAGTTAGATGTCCTAGTTGTCACTGTAGCAACATATAAAACCAAAAAAGAAGAGCCTAGTTTTCAGGTGCTTTCAAGCAATGCCCTGCTATCCGCACTGAAGCGCTTGAGTACATTGGTTGGGCATGTAAAAGCCAAAATGGAAGAACAATATAGACAATATAATCTAAGTACCCAAAAAAAAAAAAAAAAAAAAAAAAAAAAAAAAATCAAAAAAAACCTTTATAGTAGGAAT